CGTGAAGATTCGGGGTAGAATAGGTCTTCAGCAATCCATGCTTTCCGTAAAAGGCGACTATATATGCTTGTCGTAAGAGGCGACTAACGTGATCGGGTGGTCAGGCTCGCTGACTTGGTTGATGCATGTCATCGATCCCAACAGCGTGGATAGATGCACATGAGTCAATATCTGGATTGTCTGGTCCAGACTCGATTAATTACAAAAGGTCGTCATATGGCTGGGATATCATGAGCATCGATCCACGCAATCTCGTTAGTAACCTCTTACGACAAGCATAGTCGCCTTTTACGGCAAGCCTGGGTTGCTGGAAACCTATACTCTAGCCCGGATCTTTACGGGTCACTGTGAAGCCTATTAACCTTCATCATGCTCCTTGGTCTTTCAGACTTATTTATCACTCCAAACTGGCTTACACAGGAGATATCAATTGGATGAGATCATACGGTATCTCCTAGGAGATATTGCTACAATGAAATGCTTTGAAGACAATTGTGATGTCATTGGTTACCATGACGTCACAATCAAATGATAAAACTAACCTCAGCCGATAAGTTCGTTAGCTGTACGTTTTACGTTCAAAACACAGGTTATCACTGTTTTTAAGTAAAAAGGTTTGATTTTGGATGAAAAACAGAATCGCACCCTCGTAATTTTTTATATAAAATATGTGACAAACAGAAAATGGACCTTATGGGTACTTGGATTCAATTTTCCTGTGACGTCATAAATATTGCCATTTGTACAGACTGTACAAACATATCCTACTTTTCTCTCGTAAGTTCGTAATGTAAAAAAGACTTCAAAACATTTCAGCATACATATCTACTTTCAATTAAGCATTCATACCTATGAATTGAAGCTTATGAATTTTATTTTATGGTCCTAAGATACCGTATGTGTAGTTTTGAAATAGATTAAGAAGTCAAAAAATGCTTTTTCACATGTAAGGTCCCATTTCTCATGGTTGGTCACATATTATATGAACACTCGTGCAAAACTCCTCGGCAATTGCAATTCCTCGGAACCTTTTCTCAACTTGTGTTGATGTATTTGATATCAAAAGACACTTGAGTGAGATTCTCTATATACATGTGCGTTTCATTGACTTTGACAAAAGTGATAAATATCCCTTTTGTGTTTACCCACTGTACCGGGAAGCTGTTGGAAGAACATTCAACAACGGACACAAATTGAACATCGCATGGAGAGAACAATCGGCTACCTCGGACGGTCATAAGGGTTAATATTAATGTGTATGACCAACGTGGTCCGGTACACGAAGAAATAAAAAACCCTGACATTTTCATTTTGTTTCATTTGATTTTATTGACAAATTATCAGAAGTGATTATAATTAATACCAATGGCAATATATCGTCTGAAGGTCAATCTCTAGGACAACCCATAAAGATTCCTTTTTACAACTGCAGAATAAAACAAACAAGATTAAAACTTATAAATATATATAGGTGTGATAATAAATGACACATAAATACAATCCCAGCTGTCATCTATATAGGAAAACAGATTTGGGGAACATTATTTACATGTTTACCTTATGTTTATGTATAACCTCTTTCTTGCTATTCATGAATGTCTCAATTATGACGAGATTTATCAAATTCCCACATGTGTAACCCTTATCAGAATTCACTTTAATAGTGTAAACTATCAAATCTATTTGATTAAAAGTCGATGTATCGATTACGAAGTGTAACTAATATATCGTTTATTGATATTTGCGCTACAGTCTAAAATGATTCGGTATTCTGCGTATCTCGAATAACGGTTAGCTCGACATAAGCGTTACTGATCCAGAGGTCATTGGCTTAGAACCAACCGATTCTTTCATATTTAACTGTAGTTAATCTGTCAGTAAACTATTGTTATATAAAGGAATCTGGCGATCCTTGACATGTTTTGAGTAGTATAGTAGGTATATGTGAAATACAGGTTTTATTTTACCTTTAAAGTTTAGATGTACAATATAATGATCAGAAGGTCAGAGAGCTCTAAAAAAAAATATTGTAATAAAGTATGTTAACAACAAACAACTAGTCCTCAATCGTTTCTCACTGATGGTATATGTATTGTCCCTTCCGGACCATAATCGCAGGATCAGCGCCGACATATAAGCTGAAATATTGCCGAGTGTGGTGTTAAAGAACAAACAATCAAACAAACAAAATCACCAGCCACGAAGCGCTTCTGCAAAAACGTCTATGTTGTCCGCCACCATTCCCCGAACCAATTTGTCGTCTTCAAAAAGGAGTTACATGATTTTTTTCGGATCAAATTTCCGCTGGATCGTTGAGAGTCCCATTTATTTGTGCTTTAACCGCTGACGCACAGCAGAACGCTTTATTGTTCTTCAAAAGAGTGTCGATAGATAAACCGTATAAGCGTTGTCACTGTCAACCAAGACACATGGAAATGTTTCCGTTTCAAATTACATCTTAAAGGGACAAATTGTTTCTTTCTTCTTAAAACCAACAAATGGTTGATTTCAAAGCCAATGATGAACGGGATTTGCTTCAAGCCTAAACAGCTGCACAAAAAGTTGTCTGTGCAGACTTCAAACAAATCCTGTTCTTTGAGTTTGTTTTTGCGCTGGTGATATGTGACTGTGATACTATCGTGAACAAGGTAATGTTCGCAGACACCGGGTGTTATCTATATGGTAATCACTGCAGTTTGGATGACGTCTATGTTGGTGATGGGGGTTTCTTCAAAGTGGAAATGTTCATGCAATATAAATCCAACTTCGTTTGTCCGTTACTCAAAGTTTTGTAATATTTATCAATCAGGCAATTAACGAATTCATTAATGAAACAGAAATGTCACCACACTGGGCACAAATTACAACGTCCAAAGCTTGACGTGAAATGACAGTCGTATATTCCCCAATTATTGTGACAGTGTGAATAGTTGTAGTTGCCATTATTTAGACAAGGTTCCACTTTGGCCCGATAGAACGACCTCATTAAAAACGTTTTGAAAAAGTAACTTTTAGACCCCAACTAGAAGTGTTTTGTTATTCTTGTCTAAAACAATTACCCATTTTAGGACACATTATATAACACCCAACCAAGTGGAAGGATAAAAAAGAAAAACCCTATTGTTTTCAAGGTCATCGCGAAAAGGTATACTAAACTATATAATGAAAGATGCACGGAGAGTTTCTTAATGCAACAAAGTAAAACGTTACAACACTATCCATACTGATATATAGTTTAATTTTGTTTTGCTAAAGTGTGACTGGAAAGAAAATGTTTTCTTCATATTTGCGAAACACAGGGGCAGGAGAACCATTAAAATGAAATACTGTCATTTCTGTATATAATGTTGTAAAAACAGAAAACACTCCACGTGCGTTGAAATCCTCTTTTTAAACCTCACACGAAAGAATGAACATGAACGATTCTTATAAACGGTGTGGCAATAATATTCAATTTGAAAATCTTGAATGATTATGACAGTTTAAGTGTGATGACCTATCTGTGTCGGAAACGAAACTTGATAATATTACAATAAAATTAATTGTATAAAACTAATTATATACTTAAATGTAATAATTAGAGATACGTGAACAGTATGAAGACGAGGAACGCAGTATACTTACTGTATTATAAAAATTACTGATCTACATATATACAATAATTATATATTTATTTAATATCGACCAGGATTACAATCGAACGTGATGCTGTTTTAGGGATATATAATACATGTAACCAGACAGAATTAAACACGTAAGCACTATATTTGCCAACAGGGAAGTCCTTTTATAAAAAACTGATGCACTATATATGTTAATATAATAAATTGTGTTATGTCTATAAATTGGTTCAGCAAGCAGCACGTTTCGGAATGGGCTATCTGTCTTCAGATCGTCATGGGATGAAGCAGGTTTAACTTTCCAAAAGGACACGCTGCCCTTGCTACAGGTACAGGAATCTCCGTTTGGAGACATATCACAAAGCATTTCATAATGGCAGAGTTATTTCTGTTTAGATGTCATTTTCTCTTTCTCTTGAGTTGGGTTTAACGCCGCCTTTAACAGAATTCCAGTTGTATCACGGCGTGTCAGCTTAATGTGCCCGAAGTGCTGCAGGTCTCGACGTTTACCACCTCGGTGAAACCCACGAGCACGGATATGGTGCTGACAAACCTAGAAACATAATCGGGGCGAACCGGGATTCGAACCCACAATCATAGGTTTTTGGCGTGCCCTAGGGACGAAGAGCGAATCGCGGCGCCTTAGACGACTGGGCCACCCGTGCCCCCTGTTAAGATGTCAGGTTGTGCAGAAGATATATGTTTCAGATTGGTCTATTTATCACCTGAGCATCAACATATTCCACGGAGGCAAATTGAATGCAGATCGATTAGCGTTGGTCTGAAGATGCGAGAGGCAATGAGTGTTTACTAATGTAGAAAACTGGAAAATGGCAGAACATATATAACTGACAACGACAAAAAAAGAAAAGTCAGAATATGTCATCTGAATTCTGTTTTGTAGACATATTGGTTGCCGCTCTTCATGGTGATGATGACCTGCACAAGGAATTTATCAAATGAGCCTGATCGGAGAGTTTGCAAACACCTGCCTCTTTGTACCTCACGTCTTTTCTACGACAGGAGGTTGATTGTGTTCGTATTTTGTTGATTTGCTTTGTGATTAACCCACGTCACGTGTGAAATGCATATTTCATAAAGAATGGTCTGGTGTTAAGTGGAAAGATGAGGCATATAGTTTAACATCACATAACGTCACATATAGTGTTCCTTCCTTTACTGATAATAAAGTCAATGACACAGTATAGCAAACCCCCCATTTGCCCAGTGTCCTTTACCAATTACTTAGATATGATAACTTCAGTGTTGGCTTCCATTGTCTAATCACCTATCAGCGCCAATCATCTGTTGGCTTCCCTTGTTACTTTCTACCCTTTGTTATTTTCCACCTTTTGTTATCTTAATAATTTTGTTGTCCTTACATGTAAATATATATGCTCTCTGCCTCATAACATTCTTTCACCTGATGAAGGAATAAGCATATACTCCGAAACGCTGTGTTCCTCATAATAAAGAAGATGACATCCATATATTCTCTTCCTTATTTGCAGGTTTGATCAAAGAACGCTTTTTTGAATCTGGGCTCTGATTAAAAATGCTTCCAATTTCATTTGGGCGTGTTACTAGTGTCGATTATCTGCCCAACAGATGCCATTGGGCGCAACAGGCAAACTAGGAACGAAATTATATGAATGGATCACTGAAAATCAGTGATGACACCAGGTGTTCGCGAATAGAGTAAGCGTGTCCTGCGTTACTTGCAGTACCCGCCATTCACACATTTTTCATTAAAAAAATAAGTGTTTGATAGTTGCCTAACGGCGTACTCAGCGATACTCCTGCCATACGACGGCGGCGGCATGTGAACAATGGGATCTGGACCAGATAATCCAGTGCTTGTTAGATGCCATTTACCAATCGGCAATATATTTCATATTCATAGTTTCGTACTGGGTTCACATGCCCATTGTCGAAATATCTGCCCGACTAGCATTACATCGACTGGTTGGTCCGGTGGTCACATCGTTTGCTTGTCACTTCGAAAATCTCTTGTTGGATACTTCATATGGATACATTGTATGATCCAATCCTTTTATCCCACGCTGAGATACTGCTAGAATATTGATAAAAGCGGCGCTAAACCATACCTACTTAAGCATTTACTTACAAGACCCGTTATTATTATGAGACAGATATACAGTGTAAAATCTCTAAAGAAATCCTCGGACACCACCGTATGTGTCGAGGTATACGTAGTTCGAGATAGGCAGTTGATGAGAGTGTTACACTGGTGCCACCTTATAATAGGACATTTGATGACTTATAAAATGAGTTGACCAAGGGTAGTCAGTTACTACCATGTTCATGAACTTGGGAGTCAACACAAAAATACTTGACAGATCGGCATAACGAACTTACAATAAATAAATATAACATAAATACTGGAATGACATATAGAATAATAAACATTAGCCCTAAACAACCCAGCTCAACTTAGAATACAGCTGCTGTCTTGGTGTTGTGTATATGGTCCACCTCCGTTTTCCCAAAGAAGAAATGGTAAAAAGGAAACGTTTACTGGCCTTAGGTTAAAAATCATTCTATAAAAAATATTGACACCAGGTTCACCTGGTCACGTGATGTAAAAAAGTAGTCCCCGAAACGTGTATGAATTCACAACCGTTACATGTATCTAATCATCTATATACATGTTTGTGTTATCCCACATAGAAAATAATGCATAAAAAGTCCCCACGTGTGGTATATTCCTTATCTCGAATTGAGAGGACCTTGTCATGCTGCAAAATGTTCGGTTTATTTTCGTCAACTTTGCGCAGTGAAATCACAGATAGCGGAATGCTACACGCTCATGAAAGGTCACCATAGGGTTGATGTTAGAGTCGACTGTCTCACGGCATGACCTTTGACAGAAACTGGCTTCAAAGAAGATCTGTCACACAACGCAATCAGACACCAGGTCACGTGCCATGTGCACCTTCCGACGCCCTCTGGCGGTTCGATGACTGAGAATGATGTACACAACGCCCGTTGACGTCAGACCGATGGCCACCTCTGTCGATCTGGAAGGACAAAAATAAACTTGTGAATACATGACAAAACAGTAATACCAGATATGGAAACGACAAACTACATATGATGATTCAGACTCAATTTAACGTATGATGATTCAGACTCAATATAACGTCAATTTGAAAGTGAGTAAGTGACGTTTGGCGCTGCTTCTATTATCAATACCTTACACGGGAAACAACATGAATTGGCTTCGCTCATTGAATAGATTTTATTCAAAGTTCATGGGCATTAATGAATTTGAATTAGTTTCATTAGCTTAGTTTAAGTGAGTTACTTTTGAGAAATTATTTCCATTGTCAGAACAAATACAATATTGTCTGCCATGTGAATGTATTGATCATTGCATTTTTTTGTCGTCAAATTCTCTGAAAGTGCGAAAGACGACTGTGTGCGTATTTGTACAACCAGAAGAAATCTTTACCTTTGCTGCATAACGTATACTTTCCTGTACCACAATTACAGGAAGGGGCGTTTGAGTGGGTGAGGCTTATACTCCCTTAAGCTCATTGCAGTATTAAGTTGAAAGACACCAAGAACATGCTTAAACAGCGTACCTATATTTGCTGCTATCGTTACCAATACATCACGCATTGCTCCGGATCCTCTCTCATATAGATTTGTTTGTTTGTTTGTGGTTTAACGCCGCACTCAGCAATATTCCAGCTATGTGACGGCGGTCTGTAAATAATTGAGTCTGGACCAAACGATCCAGTAATTGATATCATGTGCATCGATCCATGCAGTTGGGATCGATGACATGCATCAACCAAGTCAGCGAGCCTGACCACCCGATCCCGTTAGTCGCCCCTTAAGACAAGCACAGTCGCCTCTTCCGGCAACCATGGGTTGCTGAAGACTTATTCTACCCCGGATCTTCACGGGCCCTCTATTACAGAGACTGGTCCCTGGTTATATTTTGCGTTGCGTTTGGTCACATAGCTGACGTGCATACCGAAGTCAAGCTGACAGCACAAAACTAAAAAACAATCCATACAACACGCGAACATTAATCTGTGTTCAATTCATCTTCATTAATGCAACTCTTATGAATCACTTCAACGCCGATATTCCAGATATACCAGACACATCCAATCACTTTATTACAATTTTATCTTTCACGTTATTTATTCTGCTATCGCTGACTCTCGTGTCAGAAATGTCATCGCTCGATCTGAAACACGAGCCCCTGTCACGTAACTACTTCCTGGCAATGAATATAACCAGCCATTTCAGCGTTCGCGTTAAATACTCCCCCTCTTTTCATCCTCCAATCTCCCCCTTTTTCCTTCACAAGTTCCGGACCTTTGCTCTCGAGGAAATACGTCTTGAAAGAGAATCTTTTCAGCCTTCTCACGAGATGAATTTTTAATCTTTCTTTTGAAAATGTATTGTATGTTTTGCAAGAAATATCATTCACCTACTAAATCATAACCTCGAAATCTCGGGAGTACTTAGAGTCGCATCTCTGACATATCTGAGGTTGACATATTTGCAGTTCAAACTAAACCGATTACCTCTTTTAATCTAAATTTGTTGTCCTTGTTGAATACTCTTGAGATCAGCTTTTTCGGATTTCATTATTCAAAGATTTTTGTCAGGGGAAATCCTGATAGCAAGATAGGTAAAAAATAGACAAAGACAAATGAGATGGTTGAGATGTGTCTTCAGCGTTAGACTCCATAGGAGCATCTCTGGGAAACCATCAGATTTTGGCCTGAGGTGATGGCCATAGTCGAATATTATGGTGGAGGTGCTGTTGCCGACGACGGTTACTAAACATACTCATTACCAACACTTTTATCATAATTGGTAAATAAGGTCAGATACTTAGGTTATTTGCTTACGTTAGGTGTGAATGACCTTGGCAACGACAGTGAGTCAATATACAGCTGATCCACACACAGAGCAAATGTGAGCTTACAGTAAGATTCTGCCGCATGGGGGGCGAAGATGGTTTGTTTGTTGTTCAACGCCGCACTCAGCAATATTCCAGCTATGTGACGGCGGTCTGTAAATAATGGTAAATAGTGGGTGAGATCGCTGACTTTGTGTGCTGGCCATTCATTAGGTGCCTCACTCTGGCAGTGTGGGTTCGAATCCCGGAAAAATCATTAGAATCTGTACTGAGAAAGTGTTATCCCCAAATATAACATTTGTTCCAATTGACCACTTTCTATATGGCAGTGTATGTTCACAACTGCTCAATTAGTTGGGATTCGGTGACCTTGACGGCCACAGTTGAAAGGTTCTTTTCTGAGAATCTCAGGAAATCAGTCCAGAGCTTGCTGGAAAATTGGCACTTAGTGCTCGCACAGCCGGGACAACGCGAGGACATAAGTTCTGGTCGAGATAACGCACATAAATGGAAATAAACGGTTCACGGACAGTCTGCGCAGATATCGGACTTAAACCCGGAATTTGTTTTACAGTGTGGGTTGCCGCAGTGAGTGTCATGCCAACTATATGACGGTGGTCTGTAAATAATGGAGTCTGGAGAGATCGATATTATGAACAACGATCCACGTTGCTGGATGTGTTGACCCGCCATCAACCAAATCACCAAACCTGTCGATGTCGTAGTTATACTCTTTCGATAGACGTTAATGTTCTAAGAAGAATTTTTTTTTCCATATTATTATTTCCCTTCGTTCCAACTGGTTTGATATCCATAACTTGTGAATATCCACAAAACCACAGTGAATGAGTCTGGTTTTATGCCGCTTTTTGCAATATTCCAGTAACATCATGTCGGGCGACACCACAAATGGGCCTCACACATTCTACCCACGTGGGGAAACGCAACCGGGTCTTCGGCTTCGGTATAACGAGCAAACGCTTTAACCATGAGGCTATCCCACCGCTCCACAAAACCACAGTAATATCAAAAATATTTAGAAGTACCCTTATTAACCTAAAAACAAGACCTCCAACAAAGAAATATCCATGGTTTATCTTTAAAGAAGCCATATGTGGTCATGTGTAATATGTTTAGTTTATAAACTTTAGAAATGCGTGAGCACAATCAGCAATGGTAGTGCTCTTGTTCCACGACAAGAAAATCAACCAGCTCAACAAAAACACAATTCCATAAAGACTTCTTGAAATCAACAGGTGTCCAATTTATGCGGCGCGCGAGGCCAGCGTCCGGCAATTACAAGGTGCTCGGTGGCGTCATAGATATATCAGCAACAGCGAGGAGTTCCTACACGCCACTGGGCTATTAGATGTGGTGGCAAGAAGTTCAAAGATCAATAATAATGCTTTTAACGTCAAACCTGAACATTTTGCATTTCTCGAGTTTCTAATGATAAAGGAGAAAGAGACAGTTTTGCTTGATTGAAGAGGAATGATTTGGAACGGTGGCCGGGGAATTGCACCTCTTCTTGGTGAGGTAGTCGCTTCTGGTCATACAAAACACTTAATCGACATTAGCTTTATTTTGTTTTTCATTCGCGTTAAGGATTCCAGCATGGTTGATAGTTACTGTATCGTGACCGTGACCGTTACCATGGCAATTGCACACGACAGGGCATACTCATCCATTCGAGCTACCGATATCGCCCTCATCGCGACATTGGTTCGTTTGTGATAGAAGGGAACTGCCGCTTCCGTTTCGTTAACACCTCGGTCTGTGGATTGGCGAGATATGAGTGTGAATAGATTACATGGGATTTTACGTATGGTTCGCAATACACATCTATTTATGACGTTGGCGAAATGTCCGACTTGATTTTGAAACACAGTAAGAGCTCACAGCTGAAGAGACACCGCTTTTAGCAATGCTACAGCAATATCACGGCGGGGGACACCAGAAACTTCCCACATTGTATCCAGGTGGGGAAATCCAACCGGGGTCTTCGGCATGACGAGAGAACGCTTTAACCACTGGACTACCCCGACGTTCCTCGGTTAATTCGAATAGTTTGCCAATTCTTATCAAGAAATAGACCCCCATTTAACTGTCTATGGTGAGATCATATATATAGTTGGGTTCAGCGCTTTGAACAGTATTCCAGTTATATCAGTCATATCAGTCTAAAGCCATGCTGGTTTTAGACGCTTACCATTTTGGTGAAACCCACGGGCAAGGTATGGTTCATACATTTCTGGGGTGCCAAAAGGAAACTTGCCGCACCTAAGACGACTGAACCTCCGTGTCCCTATATATATAATAATGGATAGTATACTTCTACATGGTACCTCCTGGGACCCGTGATCATCACGGTACCACGATAGCGTGGGACGTTGCTCATAACATCTGCTGACCCGTGAAGATCCGGCGCACAGAAAAAGTCAGTCGTCTGATCAGGGCCTGGATCAGTTCTTGTCAGTTGGCTTGAGGATGTGGTCGCCGTCGAACACGACGATCCATGACATAGAGGTGATCTATGGGGGTAATGTCTGGGGGGCGTGCAGGCCACGGCAACGCGTGTTCAGGGTCTGGCGTTGTCATGCGGATAAGGGTCACCACGTGTCAGCTGCTGTACCAGTGGACACCACGATGACCAGTGGTCATATCCTCAATCAAATGGCACGACCTCCTGAACGCAACATGCCGCCGTTGGTTTTCCCCTGTGGTTCCGTAAGCTCGGAACAGACAGAACCAGCTTTCATCAGTAAAGACGACCCCCTGCCAGTCACGTCGCTGCCAACGACGTACAGTCCGGGCCCATCTAAATCTCTGACGACGATCTTGCGCTGTCAGCATCTGTTCTCTGTAAGGTATGTAAGCCTTAATTCCTTGAGCCCTGAGTCGCCTTGCCACTGTCTGTCGACTTATCAGATGCCCTAAGGCATTCGTGGCTGATGACGTCACTGTCAGGAATCGTTTCCGGAGAAACGGAAGTACGCAAGTACCGGTCTTCATTGGGCGTAGTTACCCTGGGTCTGCCTGTCCTAGGCCTGTTTGATGCCTGCCCCGTCTGTCTGTAACGTTGCATCAGATTAGTTACAGCAACACGAGAGTAACCAAAAGTTCTAGCACTGT